AAAACCTGTAAAAATAATAAAATGAAATCTTAGACTTACCAAAAAAGACTAATACAAAGAATCTCTTTGTGGCACTCATATGGAAACCCACTGGATGCAATCGCAGCAAAAGTAAATGTTTCTTCTAAAAAGCTCTTATGAATATTGCTACTGGTAACTACAGCAATATGGGTAATTAATTCTGGATAAATTTAACTTATGAACATGGGTCCAAACTTTCCTCGCGTCCCGCCTGTACATACAATTATTTATCGTGACGATCAGGTAGCTAGGAGCTTCCACGATGAAATACTTTGAAATAATATATAAGAATTGGAAATGATTGATGTTTGAAGTTTTCGCGTATTTTACCTATTTCTGACCGTCCACGACTTCTATATATCTAATATTAAAATGTTTTCGCTCCCCTATAGAACCTATTATCCCTGATACAAGCTCAAAATCCGTTGTCAGATTCTACAGAAGTGAGAAGAATTGAACAATTGACTGAAGATCTTGTACTGCTGCTTGATGAAAGCATGAAAAACGCAAAATGTATTGCATTAGCTTTTGACGAATCAAATGACATGAAAGACAATACAGTACTGGACTTGTAGTATATGTGCGATATTATGATGGAAGTGTGAAAAAATTATGCAGAATTTGTTGGGCATGACTGCCCTTGGAGGAACGACAAACGACTAGATTTAGAATTCTTATTTTAGTACTGAAGATGGTTAGCTAGAAGATCTTTAGTTTTAAATTTCGTCCAATGAATTCGAATATTTAACCCTCAAATTTTATCGTTTCGGATTCCGAACTTTTGCATCAAGCTTGTCTGCTTCCATCCATTCGAATCGAGTTTCGAATACTTGGCAACTATTGCGACCTCGGTACATGCACTGTCATCGGACTCTGATAAATCGAAAGCAAGGTTTATGATTGACGCCTATTGCTGAGCTGATGAAGTTGATGGTCCAACTTCTACAGGAACAGTTTGTTCAGATAAGACTGTCAGCTCAAAAATAAAAAAAAGCGATTTTGTAAGTTTTTTCAAACAGATCTTTAGTGAAATTAGTTGAGTAGCCCTGGACTAGGCTACTTTTAAATGGCGGGAGGCTATATATTTTGAATCAAAATGATGGGTATGGAACTTGTAAACCGGTTTATAACTCGAAAAAATACGCTCAAAATAAGCATCAAACATTTTGCATTGGTGAAGTACAAGGAGAATTTTTGTTCCGTTTTTTAAAACATTAACTACCGGACGGTATACGGTATTGCAAGTAGGTAATTCTGCTTAACGAATTAAATTAACTCTAACATCAATAGTCCATGAGATTTAAAATATTACTATCCCAGTCCTAAGGACAATAAAACCTTTTTTAACAGGGTCATCTACGAAATGCATTAACATATATTATTTTATGTGCATCTTTATTTGAGTCACAAGCAGTTATGCAAGATTCTACTTTTGTTCTACCAGTATTTTTATGTTTCGTTCTGCATCATGAGAGACTGCTTGTCGATCCAATATTATCATTAATGATTTTCACAAATCGAGTTCAAGTCGCGTATCCCGTAAGGGAGTGATTACAAACGAAGATTTCGAGACTATCCACTAACGAACCAGTGACCACGAGCATCGCGTATCTACCTTTGTTCAGTATAAAATGGTCCGAAATATCGCGCTGTGGTTACAATGGAATAATTGTGGTATATATCGGTTTTAAGGAAAACTATTTCTAGAGATTGCGGTGCTGCAGATTTCAAGTTAGTTTTGCTGAAATTAAAACTGCTTATTTCAAATTATTGTTATTGTCGACCGAGATGAGCTACTGCAAAAAACAACCAAGGTATCTTGCGAAGTGAGCGTTCCAGCAAAACATGCTGATTCGACAAACCTAATGGCGTATCCATTCAAACCCACTAATTAAAGCAGGTATGTGGACATCATATATTCAGCTGAGATATAGCGATTGCACATGCGATTCTATAAAGTTTAACCCATTATTCGTTTGGGATAAAACTCACTGTAAAATAAGTAAAATGAGATCTTAGACTTACCAAAAAAGACTAATACAAAGAATCTCTTTCTGGCACTCCTATGGAAACCCACTGGATGTAATCTCAGCAAAAGTACATGTTTCTTCTAACAAGCTCTTATGAGTATTGCCACTGGTGACTACAACAATGTTTTTGTAGACATGCAAAGTGATTCATCTCTTAATTAAAAGACTTCTGGGTTATCAAACCGACACTTTTACAGCAAGTAACCGATATCACATGACGAACCACTTTTCCTTCTTCATTATCTACTTGTAATGAAAATTCTCATATAGTATTTAAAAGACTCATATTCGAACAAAATTCAAAAAATCTAATTTGAAAGCGTTTGGATCGGTAGTAAGGGAAACAAGCACTTTTTTCCCAAAAATCAACAAACTAGCTTCAGTTGAGTCCATTGATTGAATAAATATTTATACACGTTTTATAAAATACTTGCTACACACAATTTCATAATGCGATTGGGGAAGACTTTTTGCCAATTTATTTAATATACTTGAATAATAATAACAAGCCGACGCAAATACAAATCACGTATATGAATGCAGTCCGTTCCAAACTTTGACCTTTCACATCTGCTTCATTTTTATCCATTGCGATTGGAACAAAGTTAAGCGTTATCAATCGTCCCTATGAAAAGTTATTGATGCGAATGCTTACACAGCTTGAAATTTATTTACTTCATGATTTGCGCAGATCCTCGTAGGGTCAATAATGAAAGATTAATGTTTACTGAGCGTTCCAGTGGCGTAACACTGTTCTTTATCCACAGATTATTGCCCCTGTAATCTATCAGCAAATATGTAAAGCGACGAGATATTTCTGCTATCCATCTCACAACAAAACAGTCAACAGTTACGCTCGAATTGCGTTTTTCTTTTTTATGAACTCTCCTGAACTGACGTAACCTACAGCTCACCCCAAGGTGAGACGAAAACAATTTTCAAACGCTTTGTTTGCGATTATGTAAAAATAATTACCCTGTAACTGTTCCGGGATCCCCATTTAGAGCCATTTCATACGTCACATGAAGGCGAGCGCCGCCGGCAAACTTCTAATTTGTGACTCTTTTATGTTAATAACAAGCGTTGACTGGAGGATAGCACGCGATTAAAAATTATAAGAACTTTTTTTTTTCTTTAGATGAATTTCTAGGTCCGGTTTTAATTTCATCTGATACTAACACTCGAATATGCCACCCCATATACGAAATTGTTATTTCCCCGTATCGCTCATATATAGAATAGTGGAATACACATACTAAAGTAAATTTTACCGAACTGAGATGCCAAGTTACAAATGTCATTAAACTACAAAAAAGTTTTTAGTTGAATGTTAACTAATCGTGAACGACCTTTAACAATTCCAGAGTTCCTAATCACACAATCTCCCAAAATGGCACCTGGAAAAACAGAATGGCACGGATTAAGATATTAATGTTGATCGATATATTGACTATCGTAAGTTGACCCTCACTTGACACCATTGCTATTGCTATGGCGATCTTAATTGCTGCCTCCGTTGCTTATTTAACAAATGCCTCTTTTGTTTCCTTTTTCGCGCGCGTTTGACGTCATAATCGCTGTCCTCTGGACGACCTCTTCTCAAGCGTGTGTTATGTCAAGAATGACGGAATGTGCGCGTGCCAAGAGAGTTAGTTTTTCCATCTCAGGAATTTAGTGTGTATATTGTGTACTTTAGGTCAGAAATTAATTTCGTTCAGTGTATACATACATATCTGCAATAAACTGCGGGCGAATGAATAAATACTTCTGATTTTATAAATTTTGCTGTTTCTTGTTGCTGCATTCTCGCTTCTCAATAGACAAACCCAACGTTATAAATTGAGTAATAGCCATATATCTATCGCGCGCCCATGAAATATAACCGATTACGCTTAACAGTATAATGAGACAAAAACGTTCACATATTTTCTAAATTTTCATAGCCCTGGAATTTATCTTCATATTACAGTTTATTGAATTACAATAAATATGCGGAAAGGTACTTGACATCACTAATACATGAAATCAAGTGCGATCGATCGCGACGTCCGGACTCTGGTCTGCAATTCCGATGGTACTTCTGCGGGCGCACATAAGAGTGCGGTTTATGAACTTGAAAACAATGGCCGGACATTGTCAACTGCTTTATAATAGAATTTGTGATATATTGTATTGTGAATTAAGGTCACCACACCTTTTTGTAATGAGGTTTTGGATGGTCCTCTTGATATCCGGCGAGGTTTAATGTTGGGATACCCTGTCTCTGCCGCATTACCGTATGACCGATTCTAAACGCTTTTTCTCTAGATGTAACAAAATGGGTTGTGTAATTCAACGAAAAAGTCCAACTTTATGCAATTTAATACACATAAGTAAGTAATGATATTGAGAGAGTCAATTTTTGAACGAATATACAAGATCACTGAATACATTTTGGTGATTTGCACTACCGTTAAAAATTTCTTGAACTTTGTCAATAAAAACGTTGACTAGCTTTGGCAAGCGTAATCATACAATCATTGAATGAATCTTTGCTTTTCATTGTCTTCGTCGGTCTTCAATTTAACATCCTTAATTTAATCTCTGTATATATATATATATATATAAGTATAAGCTATTATTCTTTGATTAACTGCCTATTATGTTTAATAATCCGTTATTTTAAGAGGTAAATTTGTGACCCCTTTTTTCGCTCCGACCGAGTTGCTCTTATGAACTTTGTCTCGATTTGATACGAAAGGTCGCGACCGCTCTCGTTTACTAATCTGTTTCATTGAGACAATAGCCCAAGGACAGATAATGGGCGGTGTAAATAATCCGCAAAATCTTCTCGTCCATTTTCTCTGAAACTATCCTTTTCCTTATGGGTGAAAATGTCTTTGGTTTATAAGTAAAGGTTGAATAAAGACAAGTCATTTAGTTATCGGATGGGTCGATGATCAGGTCTTAGATTATTTTGTTCAATTTTTTTACTGGAATTTTTAAGATGCAAATAAGTCCGTGTAATGAAATTTGATAAAACGAATTTTTTTGTGTACCTAATAAAATTTCTAGATTGTGATTCTGTATTTTTTGTCATATGAAAGAGTTGAAACAAATATTTTCATTGGCCAATACTGAAGTACAGTAGTTGGCAAATGAAAGTTTCAACTAAAGGATTTTACTCGGAAGAGCATTAAAAAACAAAATCAGGATAATCTGATAGCATAGAACAGTGAAGCAATAAACTTCAACAGAGAGTCTTCGGACTTCGTTTTGTACTGCATTTGACTGAGTTTGGGAATTCGGACTTTATTAACGTCATAGTCTTTTAAATAGTCGTCAAACTGCCGAGCAACGGTTTACGATCGACAGTATATGTCCAATAAAACGTCAAGCTTCAGCCATTTTCGTCTTTGATTAGGGCCGAATGTAGCCATTTGCGCATATTGTGAATTAAGTTAGCCCCATTTAGCATTATGTATTTTCACAGTGAAGGAAGGAAATAGAAATCGACATTAGGTATTATCCTGAATGCCAGAAAAGGCCAACAAAATTGTAAAATATTGAGGGGTGACAGCGCGTGGCCGAGAAACCCACAGAGCTCATTATTCCCCGGCCTTCTATGAAAATATAAATGGCTCGATCACTTTTAAACTTTAGTTTATGTTAGATGCATCACATGGGCTGGGGGTTACGTGCCAAATTCAACGAGAAAAGATTTATCATAGTAGTATCTACGATCTATCCCAAACATGCGTATAATATTTCTTACAGCTCTCGCCCATCAGTCTTTCTATATGTATTATATTTCTCCGATAAGAATCCCTCGCTACTCATTGTGGTGAAAGCAGATTGCTTGATTAAAAAGAGTGGTAACCAATTTTCTGAAGCAAGCGAGGTGGAAACATGTTCATTATCCAATGACCGTGAAATAGAAAAGCTTATCTGAGTTGTGTTCATTTTTTCAGATAAAAATTCAGAAAAACTAAGTTTTCGATTGCTATATAGATACAGTCGGAAATTTCGAGCTGATGGCGGGATTGTGGATGCTTTTGATGCCGCTATGGGGTCAAATTGCGTCGGTATGCTCCTACTGCCTTTCCACTGTGATATTGTTTTATGCCAGCAAAACTATTTGGCGTTGGTATATATTTTCGACTGCAAACGATCTAACATCAACATTGACTAGAGATTTTCCGCTACCTCCAGGAGATTTTGGAATTCCATTTCTGGGAGAGACACTGTCTTGGGCTCGTCAGGTAAATGTATGTGCACTATGGAAAAATTTCAATAACTTTTTTCAACAAAAAATAATGTTTTAAAACTGACTACTATATCACTATATCCATAGTGTGAGATTCGTCAATTTACATTCTTGTTATAAAAATTTTGGACCTCCTGAAGCATGCGCACCAAGATGGCGCACAACCTGAACTCAGGTTGTGTACCAGGTTAGGGTTCAGGTTATGCGACATCTTGGTGCGCATACTTCAGGAGCACCAAATTTTACTCTTGTATTACCACAAATATATGTTGAATAGTTCTTTTTCTTCCATTTTATTATTGTTTACAAAATCTACTGCTACGAAATTAATGATTTAATGTAATAAAGATAAATCGTATTTTTAAATAATCGTTCTTTGTTAATTTCTGTTTAGGGAAGTGCATTCAACTTGATCAGACGAAAGAAATATGGAAACATATTCAGTACACACTTCTTAGGAAGAGCAATGGTTAAAATAACAGGAGCTGAAAATGTGCGACAGGTAAAATATTTCGTATATATCGCCTTTTCAATATCCAAAACATGAATCAATCGTAATCAATAACGCTGATATATTTACTTTTATTAGATTTTGCAAGGTGAACATGATAAAGTAACAACAATTTGGCCGACAACAATAAGAAAGATTCTCGGTGAACATTCTATTGCAAACTCTGTAGGAGAAGAACATAGACATTTAAGAAAATTCGCGATGAAAGGTTTCACGCATTCTGCGCTCAACAGTTACATATCGAACGCAAAGAAAATAATTTCGGAAAAGGTATGAAATGGTATTCAAAAATCAACTTATAATCAGAGAAATAGGTGACCGAAATAAAATTCAATAATTGAAATATTTATTCACACAACTGAATTTAGAACTCAAATAAGCTGTTGAGATATAAATGAAATATAATAGAGTCAGACTCATATTCTCAGACTTGAAAAAAGTGGAAAGTTGTAAAATACTTTGATTAACCCATAATTGTCCATTCAAAACTAAAAAATCGATGCATGCAAGTTTTGTGATTATCTCAAATCTTTTTCCCCTATAGTCGGAAAACAGAGTAGAATTAAAGTTATCAACTACTTAGTTTAGTAGTTTACTTTTATTTGGTTTGAAATCCGTAACCCTGGATTGGTATTGTCTTTCTGATTTGAATAAGAAAATTAACGATGAAAAAACCCAAATCAATCTCAAAGGGCGTCCTGAAAAGGTGCGTCAGATACAATGTGTTAGTGTATTCGCAATTACTTAACTTCACTGGTTTCATTTTTAATTTTCGAAATTCTTTCCAGGTAAAACAATGGACAGACACAGCTGGTCCCAGAAAAATTTACGATGATATTCTACAAATGACATTCGAAGTTTCAGCTAAAGCAATGGTTGGTCTGACGTTTCCGTCGAATGATGACAGAAATAAAGCATTCAGTACATTTCATGAAATGGTCAAAAATTTGTTCAGCCTGCCATACGATCTTCCATTTTCTGGATTTAGAAAGGTAATTCATTGCGCCTAATCAGAATTATGGGTTAAATTATTCAAAGCACATAAGCGATATAGAGGTGAAATATTTTCGTGTGCAGCTAGGTACCAGTGATTTTCTTTATTTCATTCATTTCTTCTATTTTGGAATTAAAAATTGGATTTTAGGAATTTTAGATTTAAAGTCCATCAATATTTATTCATCTAAATCATTTAGAATGTGCTCTGGAAACGCTTATATTGATATACAGATAATCGATTGTAAGGCATAATGTTTATATTCAATTTAAAAAAAAACTTTTATTGTCTTTATTAGGGTTACCAATGCAAAGAGATTCTTCACGCTATGTTGCATGAACATTTAACGAAAAAAATAAAACGACTGCAATGCAATGGTAATGACGGTGATGATGGTATACAAGAAGACAATGACGTCATGCAGTATATTTTGGAAGCAGACATGGAAGAAAATAGAAAGTATGTTATTCAAACTTCTTAGATTCATACCAATAAACAATCCTTTTAAATAAAGACGCGTTTAAAAGGCCGCAGTAACACAATGATAATGAAAGTATTCTAAAAATGATTTGTCGTCATGTATGGCTTGGTTGTGTTAAAATCCATTATTGTAGTACAAATAAAAAAAATACTTCGCATTCCGGGTTATCCGCTTCTAAAAGCGGTTCGGTAAAGTCGAAATTTGCTCTGTACTTTTTCCAGAATGCAATTTACGCTAGATAAATAACGATCATACACCATAGCCTACTGTCATTTTCAAGCGGTGAAAAGAGACAAAATTTTTGTTTCGTTGTTCTAGCGAACGCATTACTTTAACAATTATGCATTTTGGTCTTGAAATGTTTATTCTACTTCCTAATTACTGTTTATTATTATACAGCACTAATAACCAGCCAATTCAAATTTACTTTATAATTAGCTGTCTACTTTGTTGTTGTCGTTGCCAAGGGCATGCCAGAAAAGAATTCAGTTGATGAATAATTAGCAATCAGGGGCTTAAGCGCAACTCGTTAACGATGCTTATACAAACCTCAAAAAGCCTTTCATTTGGCTGCCTTGAACATTTTGGTAATCTATTGCAGTTTCCACTCCGTTTTTGATTTACCATAAACAGATATTATTTTTTAATCAGAAAGCAACTACATTGCTGGGATAGTGATTCGGAAAGAAGTGGCGATGAAAATGAAAAATGTGGCTTTACTATAGAAGAACTCAAGCAAAACGCTGTTGAGCTTATGTTTGCTGGTTTTCAAACAACTGGAAGCAGTATTTCGTCTCTTATGATTCAATTGGCAAAACATTCGGATGTAAGAAAAAAAGTTGAAGATGAATTAGAAGAACACGGATTTCTTGGAGCGGAAGATTCCGAGATAAATTTAGAAAGAATTCAGAAGTTGACTTATTTGGAACAAGTTATAAAAGAAACACTGAGAGTGATGCCACCCATTTTGGGAGGTTACAGAAGAGCACTGAAGACATTTGAAATCGGGGTAATTTTGAAATGAGAATTGAATAACATACATTATTTCATATACATTTTCATTAACATTTACTTAGTTTACACCTGTAACTCTCGTGTGCCTGTGGTGGCAAAGTAAATAGGAAATGAAATGAAACATTTACATCTCAAAACATATATTTCCACATCCTGAATAAATATAGTCGAGTCAAAACACTGTAAACAACTATGAGGTTATTACGTTAAGTGTAAATATAGCACAGTAGATTAAATGTAGTAACGCGGATTCCAATTTGAGGATACGAGGCTAATCATTCTAGCGTGAAATTATGTTTATAGCCCCGTGTCTCTGTATTTACTTTAAAATATTCTTAAATTCGTATTTATATTGTATATTTCTATATTCCAGGGTTACAGAATTCCCAAAGATTGGACAATCATATACAACATCAGAGATACCCATGAATATGAGTTTGAAGACGATACTGAATTTAATCCTGAAAGGTTTTCTCGTCAGAATTGGACAGAAAATCGTCACAATCGATTCAGGTATGCTATCTTCTTGCAAGCATACATTTCCACTTGATTATAGAAGCTGACTAACAGGAGGTGGCCGCTTCAATTACGTACTGAAGACAATGACTCTAATCTAATTACATATAATCGTTTGTAGTTAAGCATTTGTACGCTGCTGCTATCCAATCAATGTTAATGACGTATAACTTTCTTCAGCAGACGAGTAATTTACACACACTAATTCTACAGTAATTCTACCACAAATATGAAATCCCAAAATTATGTTCCATTTTCAGATGGTTGCCATTTGGAGGAGGCGCAAGAACTTGTGTTGGAAAAGAATTCGCAAAGCTGATGATAAAATTGGCCACAATAGAACTATTTCGTAATTTCCAAAGCTGGGAATTTGACGGTGGAAAACAACCCCCAATGTTTCCGATACCTACCCTTCATCCAACAAATGGATTGCCTCTTATATTTACTCCTCGGCAGAATACGGTTTCTAATGGAAACGTACAATTCAATAATTAATTTTTTTATATTCTCGTTCTTTTTATTTTCTTCGTATTTTTCTAGTAAAAGCAACGATGGTTGCTCTTCTTTTTATCAAAAGATATAAATGAATTATCATATTTCTGAAAGGAGCTTATATTTTCTCTGTGTCTGTGTGGCATTCCTACCCTTAGCATTCTCTAAAAGAATCATAACAGATTGGATTTTTTTTAAATTTTTTCCCCAATAATTACAATTCAAGTTATAGTCAATTCGAATATATTTTCGATATATTTTGTAGTCACATTGAATCGAATATTACCGCAGCTGCTAAATCGTAGATATAAACTACCAAAATGTTTTCTACTTGATTTAATTATATATTTATCATGATCAATATCATAACTAAGTGTCCAATGTATTTCTGCAATTCGACAAACACATATTTTGTTTCAATATTAAATTAAAAAACGATTATCTTTGTTTAAGTTAACTTCAAAATATTACAAATTACCTCACCCGTTGTTTATTTTGATTTTTTCAGCATTGTTATTCCTGAAGGTGTATCGTTTTGTTTGCTAATGCTTATTTATATTTGTTAGTGATAAATTACAAAATTAATTATCAAAAGTGGAAGCAGTAAACCCAGTACTTCCATTAACGAAACTAAAATCAGTGTCACAAGCATAAACTTATAAGTAGAAAAATCGAGACAAATATTGACTTCAAAAAATCACAAGCTCTCGTGCTATCTAGCTCTTGATGATTAATCTTTACTAATTTCCAGAATACCACGAATCAGTTCAGTCTCCAAAACTGCATTGACTAAGTGTTGGGAATTTGGTAAAGTTCTGGGCATTTGAACGACACACTAAATTCTGGTCTATTTTTCAAATTTATATTTTAAAAGAGACAGAATAAATAAGTATAACAAAGTGTGAATTGTCTTACCGTTTTTTAATATGCTAAAATAATTCTATCTTTCTTGCCATTTGAAATATTATATTTAATCTATTTGTACCCCAAATATCACAGTTTACCTATTGTTTTGTGAATAAATTTTTTATGTTCCATTTGTCATGATTTTATCAAATTTCTAGCTTTGAACAACGATGGGTTCATTCATCATCGAATACAGTGGTCCCCGGTTATTGGACACGAAGTGGGCCGTTTTGATGAATAGTCGTTGTTGGAATTGTGAAAAAATATCCAACTAGGGCATGGGCCGGTAACCTTGAGCATTAAACGAGCCCATTCGACGTCCTTTAGATCAAACCCAATAAAAAAACGGATAATTTTACCCGGTTAACGATTAAAGTGGTTTCTCTAAAATTCCCAGCCTTAGTAATTGGTGAGGAGTATTGACTTTGTGCCTCTTCTTTCATGGAATCCACACTGCTCTTTAATCCACACGGAAGTCAGAAATCCGAAAACAAAGAGCCGCAGGTTGTCGATCGCTGAACCATGGTGGAAGATTTTCAGTAATTGAGAATGTAAGAAGATTCCAGATCTTTTTTTTTCTTCGAATCCTACAGGGCTCCATGTCAAATATTGCTGTTTTTTATTTTAATTTGCAGTCATATCATAATATAACATTCTGTTATATGGCTATAATAGTTATATGACCTTTGTGCCCGTATTATATTCAAACATATAGCTCTCGTGTTTTCCGAAGCGACGCGAGTTAATTAATATTCCAAACCGAAACTAAGCTTTGTCTAAAACTATGCTAATTACTTTGATCGTGATTGTCGCACCGCCAATTATATACCTATTAAACTATTTTTCATTTATTATAATCCGGCAATCCGTTTATTTCGAGAAAAAATAAAAGCGCTAATCAGACGTGATATCGTGACAATAAGATATGTGTAAATACTTGTGGTTTCCTTTCAGTGAAGTATTTTTATAGAACACAATCAGCACCAATTACACTCCAGTATATCCTGATAAAAATATTCTACTAGCCATGGAGCACGGAGTGTAAGTGGTACGTACAACTTTCAAACGCAGAGCATAGGGTTACTCCTTAAAGAAATTTAATAATAAACTATTTTTAAATTTGCCTCAATGTTTTTGGCTAGACTTAGAGCAGTGGTTCTCCACCTTTGTTAGTTTGCGGGTAGGTAACATTTCGAAACTAATTTTGTGGGCGGTGAACCTTCAAAATCAACCCAAAAATGTCAAAAACACAAATCATAATTAAACCAATCTAACGGTACTTATGACAAAAGTATGCAGACAATTCAAAAGCAGACAATTCAATTTAATGAGAAATTTGCTGCTTTCTTTTTGATATCATACGAGTTAAACGCTGTTCTAATCTGGTTTCTGCAAGGTGAAGTCGAGCACACGATTTCTCTGTTTAGTCTTGATGAGAGATATCGATCAAAAGCTGTTCTCACATAGAAAAGTTGTAAAAAACGGTAGTACCAGTTTAATGGCTTTGTCACTGAGTTCTCAAATTCCTCTGTTATGTGTGTTCGGCATTATGACGTCATAGACGAAACATCCAGCTATTAAAGGTTTGAAATGGGCGTGGGACCAACCAAGTTTGGTTTACGCATCAATAGGAGTTGAAACTCACAAAAAAATGGGCAGGCCATCAATACCTTTGCAAGTGAGATATATTAGTGGAATATTATTTGGCGGACCGACAGGAAGGTCGACGCGGACCGGCAGTTGAAAACCACTGGTCTACGTACAATGAGGATTCGTAATATTTGACGACAAGATTCTTATATCTGACTGGCTTTGCACTGCACGGAACCTGAATTTTTATCTCGTTTTCTGTTGTATATTACAAAATTTAGTTATGCCTATTGGTAAAATGCAACATGATAATATAGGAACTTGTAGTCATAATTCGTTTGTTACGTATGAGGTAATGTGCGGGTAATAAACTTGGCCCATCTTCTGCGCAAAGCCCTATAGCAGAAATGGCGAATCTTATATATTAAATGGGTCAAAATTTGGGTGGGTCATACATAAACCTTAGTTTGCATCAATGAAAACTTATTGTCGAGCATTTTCGCAAGTTTGTTTTATATTCCTGGTTGGTTGGTATAATGTTGATCTTTAAGCACATAGCGCTTGTATTGTGACTGGGGCAAGTTATGGTACTCGACCCATTGAATAAACATCGATTTGCATGCATACCAATTATCGAAAAACTTTTATAATGCTAGGGAAAATCTTTTCCGGATATGAGGAAAATCCAATTTCAGAAAATCATATATTTTGATTACCCGATTATCAGTGACCGGGTCAATGAAGGGCACATCAGCATTTGGGGAGTCGGACAAACGTTCAATCTTCACTCTCGGGCTGTATGTCAATTAACAGAATTTTGACACAAATTGGTATCTGGACCAGAACTCAACTTCAACTCTCCAAGTTTGAAGCCCGAGTTCACGCTCGTGTATTTTTATTTTTCAAGCTTCAACGCCCGAATTCAACAATTCGCGCAATATACTTTTTTTTCTCAAAAATCAACGCCCAAACCCTTCGAATTTGTGTCTTATTATCAACGTAGCCTATATATTAAGACTACAAGTTTTGTGTGTCAAACGGATCAAATGATACATGGTTTATATACATTAACTGTGAATCTTAATGGTGATCTTGGGGAGAGCTGACTTTGATGACGTCATGGTCGTATCGCTATCTCCAGTCCAGTGGTTGGCAACCTTTTTTAAGTGACGGACCGGTATATCCTGATCAAAATTTTGGCGGACCACCTTCATACAATGGACTAAGCTTTTTGTAATTGAAGTATACGCGTTTTGAAATTTACTTTGACAAATTATTCAAAAAGGTGATGCTATGCGAGATCTCTGTTTGTTTGTTTGGCCATTTAACAGTTCCAATTTAGAGACATGGTCGACAGTGATACACGTAACGCGTTTCTTACATCCAGCTTTCTTCGATATTTTCGTTTGTAGTTGTCAATATTGAAAACCCGGCTTAAAAAACGATGTTGTGAAAGTAACAATGCTTGTACCGCTTCTGTATCAATATCTGGGTATTGCCTTATGTTCGTTTAGCAATAATCAAGGCGTTTGTGTTTGTCTGGTTATCGCTGTTGGGTGAATGTTTTTTTAGTCGAGGGTTAGTGGTTCTACGATTGTAGAAGTGTTATAGGAGCCCTAGTCCATTTTGTGTCACCTCACTGCGGACCAAGTAGTAAAACTTTAGACAGACCGGTGGTTGCCGACCACTGCTCCAGTCTATATACCCGAATTGACTTGCATATTTTGTATATATTCTACTGTAACATTGCTTGTTTTCGGTGACGGAATAATAATCTCTCTATATCAACCACATTAAAGGGACCTCCTGAAGTATGAAATAGCATTATTTCGCTATTGTGCCAATATATATAATTCTTATATAGTATTTGCCAATATATTGCGGATGTATTCTTTATCTTATTATTTGGATCTTATGCATGTTCCCGTTATTTGTTCACTAATAATTAAATGTTTCTTAACTATATTACACGCAACTCTAACTCTCGCAGGTTAAATTATCTTATGTGCCATAAACGTTTACATATTACCAAATAATAGTAGTAAAAGTATATTTCTGCACTTCCTTACCGAAAACAACAAATTTTCTCAGTGGTAGCGTTTACTTCTTGATTCTATTCAACAAAATGATTACTCAATATTCAGTTTTAAGAAAAATTTAACCAAGTTGGTCGACCCGGAACTATAAGCGGCGAACCCCATTTTGTCCAACAAGAAAAAGGGCCCACAATAAAGCGTTTTCCCACTCCAAGCGAACATAAAATGGTTCAATATAAACAACATAAATATATCGATCTTTTGGGAGAATATTAGTGGTCATAACTTGGATCGAACATGAAAATTAGCTTGATGGTAATGGAAGGTGCACTACGCATGATACATGGAACCAATGACATTAAACAACATGATGCGCAACTCTGGCATTTTTGTCCGAAGATCGTATTCGATAGCACGCTCCAATGCACATACTTGACGAGACGAAAACGAGCGGATGTGTGCTGCTTTCAATGCGTAGCACGAATGGTGTTCGTGCCTGCTTTGACAGTTGTTGTCGATTTTAATGATATTTTTGAAAGTTGGGGTAAAAAGAAATCGGTAAAAGGTAAGGTGAATACTATTGTTGTATATCACACCCGGGCATCGCACTGTTAAGTACATGTGGGAAAGCCAGCCTTTGTCAAATACTACGAAGTTATTAATTCAGTACGGTACGTAGTTGCCCATTTGCCGAAATTACATATTTACTTACCCCTTATGGTTTCAAATAGTTCATGCACCTCCAGTTAGATTTTTTTAATCAGTGAGGATATATACTCATGTTGATGCTTGCTCATTGTAACATACTATTACGCATTCACTTTTATTTGCGTATTGAATCAAAGTGTTAACAAGTTCACCTAACATTTCACTCATACCGGTCTACATTGTATAAGCATTGTGAGACTCTTGCAGCACAATAGGCAATAGCAGAAATAGTAAGTATATCAATCAAGAAATTAAGCCGACATAAAGCAAAACTTTCAACTATTCGTCTAATCTCAATTTCCTATACTTATTCACAGGACAACTATAGCAGACGGGGAGATATCAGAAGTCTGGCGACATATCAGTGACAGTGTGATTCCAAGAAATATAATGCATTTGAAAATAGAAAATTGCAATAGAAAAACAACCTATGGAGGCATGCAAAGACATTTGACCCTCCGGTAGAGTTGTGTATGGCCCCCACATCCTGCAGGGCTTGAGGAAAATAACTAAAAATTCCAAAGCGTAAGATTGCATAAGCGTCTTATTTGTAAAAAGGCACAAAACACGCCAGACATACTTAAAACAGCTTTGGAAATGAGGATTAGGGTACCTCACTGCACCTGTGTTATATTTGGTTCATCAACTTTTTGGTAGTACTATAGAAGAAATTCCGGAGGGGTATAATCATCATTCATGATAAAATACTATCATATATTTTTTGAACAACTTCAATCTAGACCAGGATCTCAAACTCGCGGCCCCAGAGAACTTCCAGTGCGGCCCTCGAACGTTTAACAATAATTGTAATGTATTTTGGAAGTTTTTTATTTTTATCTAAATGTAATAAATTTTTCAAACCTTCTAAAGTGAAATTGATTATTCACACAGAAAACAATTTACTGAAAGTAGTTTTGGAATATTGATTTTTTTGTCCACATTTTGACCCAATTAAGAATACACATCAAGCTAGCAAAAGAATACTTGAATAAAACACTTGAGTAATTAAAATTAAACGCAAAGTACATGAGAAGGTGGCATTTTCGAAGAAAATGGGAGTTGTAACATTTCTGCTCTTCACAAAATCTGAAGCACATTGTTTAATTTGTCATATTTCCATCAATACAATCAAAAAACACAATAAGCTCAGCAGTCAATATGACAATTCGAAGACCAAACTTCGAACAGAAAATTTCCATGTGTTTGTATATTAATTAATTATACAACGACTTAGTTACTAAAAATCAATATCAATAATAATTCAAGCAATCCTATGCCACGCAATGTAGTGCGAAATGTCTTGTCGAAAAAATCTGTCATTTGTTTTTTTACTGATCTATACATGAAATGATAAAAGTAACTTTTGCATTACTGGAATTAATTAAACATTCGTAAAGATCAGATAAACCCATGATCATGTGGCCTCGTTAGTTAGAGTGTACTATAAAATCATTTCAGACTGGCCTTAGTATGCTGGTGACACAAAAAAGATGCCAAACGCCAGGACAAATGTAATTATTAAAACATTGAGTTTATACTGTAGTATTTTTTAATTTTTAGGTTCATATATTTAGATTAAGTTATTTTTAGTGTATGTATTATTCTTTCCTTATTCAAAGCTTGTTCAAAAATGATTTTGATGGTTGTACATAGAATTTACGATTTTTTTATAATAAATAACTGTAACTTGCAAATGTTGCAATATAGTGGAATGCAAATATTAATATGTAATTGCATTTGAAATTGAAGAAAATAATAAAACTTAATCCAACTGTTTAGTTGCATACAATATATGTCACAAACTAAAACTATCTTAAAATATCTTTTAAGTATACATTATCAAAAACTGTTTGCGGCTCTTTTTACAATTTTCTAAATGCAATGCGGCTCTCGAAAACCCATGAGTTTTGACACCACTGATCTATTCTAGACGATTCAAGCATTGCTTTGGGAAATTATATCACTTCAATTAAATTGAAATAATCTCGCTATATTAAATACAAAATCGTTGCTATCATAAAGGTAAACCAATTCAGCCACTCGAAATATACTGGCCTTCACAAAGCAATGGAGGCAAAATTGAGAGTTCATGAGCTATGAACATTTGTTTTTTTCTTTGTCTTGAACTTTCCATACTCCACAGCCCCTATTAATTTTTTTTAATTTTAATTACCATGTGATGGTCATACATATCTTTAACTTGTATTTTCTGTCATGATGTATTATCTCAATGTGCCAAACTATTAATTAGTGTGCATATTTTGCTTCCAGATGACATAAATGTATTGTCATGTTTATTACCTCAGCTTGGAGTATTGACAAGAAAAAGGTGCCAGTAAATTAGGTAAAAAAATTTTCAACTCATTGTTATAATCAGAATTCACAATCAATAGGAACTATAAACAGCCAACAATCAGTGAGAATTATATTGCGAAATCCCTCAGATAAATTTGTCTAAAATCGGAGGAAGGCAAAAAATATAGGTAGTTCCATCCACACAAGCATTTCAAGAAGACTTGCTCGAGCCAAAACTAAATGAGCATCGTCAGGTGATCGGTAAGGCTGCAAGTTGAATTCAGCCCTGCAAACCTCCTGCATAGAAGATAATATTAATTAGTGGGCTATGAGCTAAATTCCTAAATTTAAACAAACCTATCTACGATGCATTATTGTACCAGCAATGTTACCTACGATTAACTGAATATGTAATATGTCTAATAAATTCACCTACAAAAGCAAGTTCGATAGGTGCAAACTTGTGTTATGGAATTGTATCGCAGCACAGTTTTGTATGAAATTTCAATGATTAAGCGCAAACATTAAAATTACTACTTTGAACTTTGTCATTATCTGCAAAATGTCCACACTAATCTTTCCGCTATCGCGTTTGTAATCTTCTCTGATAAAAAAAACGTCTATTGATGTCCAGAATGCTCTTTACAGCTTGCCTGTTATTCCAGCTTTCCAAGTAAGCAAAACTTCTTAGATATAGAGATTATTTTGTTTCGTTTACAGGCGCAAAAAGGCAGGTACTATACGTAAAAAGACGCCGAGTAGCAAGAGCGAGCGGAAAACGGACGCGAAAGGCGACGAGAAATATGTGCATTGGAGGCGTATCATGAAATACAATGTTTTGCCTGTAGTCTTATGGAGTGACGTCAGAGTTGCCTATCATGTTGTTTAATGTCATTGATGGAACATACAAATTTGAACATTGAGCTAAATCCAAAACATGCGAGGCTTATCAAAATCTAAGACTTTACTTGAACCAACAATAAATTTTAAACCTGTATAGGACCCTAGAATCCTAACGAATTTGGTCATACCCGTTCTGTAGCGAAAAATATTAGGCTTTTGCAAAAAACAAGATATATTAATAGTCATAACTTCACGAATACCCAAACCAAATATCAACAAAATCAGTTTCTAAAATATTTTCATTTAATCTAAAGTGTCGTCCATTTCCATATCAGATGATTCATTAGGATTTCTAGTTCGTCTGTTTTTCTCTGGCGAAGTAACTTCAGGCATAGAAATATGGCTACCAGAGGTTGATGGTATAGAGGTGTCAGATGCGCTTGCAACACTATCCCCCAGCATCATTATAACACTATCAGATACTCCTGGAATGTCAGCGGCAGATGTGGTTTCAAACCCCCTTCCTCCGCCCTTTAATACACTTGTTGAAAATGGATCTTCGGTGGAAAGTGCTCTGCTACGAGGTTCCTCTTGATTGGGTTGTTGGGCGTCACCTTTACCCTGGACTACTCCACCAACTGGGACACCGCCATCATCGCTGCTTTCGCTACTGGCCAACGACAACATTTTTCTGGGCGGCAAAACTGGTGTTACGTCGCCTCCTTCAACAGCGGAAGGTGTACCTTCTGTTCCAACAGCAAAGTCAATAGGCAGAGGCGCAGGTGACGACACCACTCTCCTGCTTTTTACTTGAGTCTTTTTCAAACCACGTAATACAGGAGGTAGAGGGCGTCCCAGCATGTATTCTTCGGGAGTTTGAAAAGCGTTTGCCGCTCCCTCTTCTAACAGTATATTTTTAATCAAAACATTGTCCTTTTCAGTTGTTTTTGTCAGGTTACCTGATTCAGCATTACTTTGCGATTCCAAAAAGGTTGGTGAAGTATGAACAGAACTTTCCATCTGTTCTGTTTGTTTTCCTTCGTTATGATCGACAATCTCACACTGGTCTTCGTCTATAAAAATTGTTGCGAAAATTTAATGCAGGCGCATGAATAAATTATGGTAATCAACATCATTTCCAAACAATAGTGGGTGCAGAGTGAGTTAAAGACGTATAAATGCGTTATATAAAAAACGAAAGAAATTCAGTAGCAATGAAATTTCTGTTTTTTTTGTACAGCTATAAATACTTCAGCAATTTTGAAAACATATAATGGTCTATACATCCTTGATTCAAAATTTGGTAGGCTACAAAATGGCACAAATTTGGCATCCACGCAGTGAAATAAGCATAAGTATAAATAAAGCAGACCTGCCATTCCAAATCCTTCTGAAGGGTGGAGGTTTGTATCGTCCTCACAACAAGAATTATCACATCCAAAAAAGCTGGTTCAGATTCGGAATACTGTTCGATGACATGTTCTATCAAATTAACTGCAAAACATCGTCTCGTTGTAGGCCAAGTGCCTGAATAGGGGAAGTGGAAATATGAATGATGACAATGTATTTCAATTTGAAGACCATTCCAATAGTTATGAAGTCTAAAGCCAGTTGCTACTTTTGCATATGCAAAAGTTTTTATTATCAAAATTTGATTTTCTCAGTTTCAAGCTGGAGTCAAAATTATTGTAGTCATAAATTTTCATCAATTTGGAGTCAGGAGTCAATGGTAAATTTATTCGTTCCCTTAGCCCTGACACCAACAGGGCATTTAAGACCAGCGCTGCAGAGTGAAAAAAATCGGTACTTTTGTAGTGTGTGTACCAGGTTAGGGTCAGGCCATAATTTGATTCCGATTTTCCTTATTTTAGTTTTATTACGAGTTCAAGATCGTCTGTGTTGGCCAATTGAATATACCCCCTGCCCATAGGTTTCAGTCCCTTCACACAACTTGATGTAAGTAGGCGAACAAAATTAGTTACCTCCATATTGGTACACACAGTTCTGGAGCGCCAAAAAATCAGCCCCAAACCATGAGTTATTTGTAAACGACTTCGACATTCCATCTGACTAAAAACTAGGGCCCGACCGATATATCGGCCATGTTTTTCACAAATTTCGAACTATCGGTATCGGCTAATTTGACCGATTTATATCGGCCAATCACGTGACTGCCAAAGTGTCCAAATTTCGCCGGGAAAGCAGTTTTATCGCTTGTTTAATTGAGAGCGGTTCTGCCTAATACTCTTTTTCTTGGTTACTTTTATTTCTCTCTTATCAAAAGGCGGCTCTGGACTTGTCTCTCTCTATCCAAAAAACGGACGTATGGCACGGGAATTTAACATTTCGTAAGCGAGTTTGCGAGCGTGGTGGCTGCAAATGAAGCGAGAGAAACGCGCGAACCTCTATATTGTGTCAAATAATATACGTGATTAATAACGAATTCTTTTGAACAAGTTTCTCTTATTCCAAAACGAACGTACCGACGGCACGGCGGGATTCAACACTTCGTATACGAGTTTGCGAGCGTGATGGCTTGCAAATGGAAGCAAGAGAAACGCGTGAGCCACTTATTTTTGTCAAATAATTTACGTTGGTTAATAAAGAATTCTTTTGACTATGTTTCTTCTTATCCAAACGGATGTATGACACGGGATTTAACTCTTTGTAAGCGAGCGTGGTGGCCTTGCTAATTGAAGCGAGAGAAACTTGTGAACGACTTATTTGTGTCAAATAATATACGTTGATTAATAAGATTCTCGCCGTTTTCCACTTTCCACGGTCTTGGATTTTCCTTGCGCTTTTGTCGTTCAAGGCGCGATTTAACTTTTTGTATTGATATGTTGTAGATGGTTGGTTCTAGCGGTAAGAGCAAAGTATGGGAATACTTCGTGTGCCATAATGATGGCGTAATTTGTAAAATATGCTTATCATTATTAAGTCGAAAGGTTCCGCCCGATTTAAAAAAAAAAGATGGGTATAATTTGTAGAGCCATCTCAAAGCAAAACACAAGAGCAAGTATGATTGGAGCCAATGCAGAAAAACTCTGCTCAACTACATCTGAGAATGTTGAACTGGAGCTATTGAGATTCATAAGCTTCCTGCCCCTTACAAATTACAATAGGTGTTTTTTCTTGCCACACACACCAATTTGCATGAGTTCAACATTTCAATTCTTTTGCAAGAAAAACACAATATTCTCCGAGTGTTGCTTGTACTTGTAGCCATATTTGTAGGTGAGGAAACATCGGTATCGGCTTATCGGCCTAGTTTTAAAAAACTATCGGTATCGGCTCAAAAGGCAGTATCGGTCGGGGCCTACTAAAAAACGGAGAAAATTCCCCCCCAACTTCAACTCATAACCACAAGAAAGCCAAATTTTTACCACAAAAACTTAAATTATGACTCTGATTACCACCATCATAAGTCTGACCATTTCAGCACACTCTCATCCTACCTTATGGAGATATTCCAAAGCTTCACTGTATCTTCCCATAAAACTAAGAACGAATCCGATACTGGAATAGGTTTGTGCAGATTGTGGAGCTAATATCAACGCTTGTTGATGATATTTCAATGCAAGTTGGTAGTTCTTCATTTTCCTGGGTGAATATTTGAAATTGAAATTTTGAAACTTAATTCGAAACCCATCTCGAATATCCATTGGCGAATCCATCGAATAATTCAGCGGTTCTCAAACTTTCATGATTTGTGACTTTCTTTTAATGATTGGCATCACTCTTGACCCCTGCTCTTCTATAAAAATACCTAGTTTTATTTTTAACGGGTTTCCAGCAGTTATTTTATTCGCCACGTAGTGATAAGTCAACAAACAAGGGTGAAAGAAAAAATGCATTACAGTCAGAAATTAAACACGTCACCTTCAATTTACTTTTGATTAATTAAGTCATCACAAATGGCAATTGAGAGAGGATTTTGATTGTGTCCCTCTGAGGACTGCTCAGTGCCCCTCCCCCCCCCCCCCCCCAGGTTGAGGCCAAGACCGAGGGCTCAGTTTAAGAAACCCTGATCTAGATTCTCCATGAATATGTGGAAAACACATCAGATCGGCACGCGAAAACCATCTACCTACTTAGTCTTACGTACCCTGGTGAACATGGGCCCCAAATTGTTTTAATAAAGCTTCCCATTCCTCCTGATATTGTTTCTCCTTCATTTTCCTTTCAAAACTTCTAATGCGTTTGTTAAAATATTTCAAAGGCGGCAGGATATCTTACAAAAAAAGATTTAAAAGTATAGTATTTACAGACATAATATAAAAAAATGAGCATATTTTCAAAAGTATTACACTGAACGTTTCTCACGGCCCTTGACCACATAAAACCTTTTTCCTATACTTACCATTGCAAACTTATTTTTACGTTCATTTTGAGTTTTTTTGCGAGTTGGCGCTTACAAACTAGATTACTACATCTTTTCGATTCAAAATATCCAATTACCTGCCTTGTGGAAGTAGTGACAGCTAATTTTTAGTCTGGCCTATCACAGCTTTGTAGGACCAATTTTTGATTACCGCAAATAAACTGGAGCTCATCAGAAGACTAAATTGGCCATTAAATCATTTGATTCATACCCAAATTTCGGAAACAAGACTAAAAACTGATAAATAGCTAGCAAAATCACAAAAACAAGTTAATTTTCACTACCATGCCTAAAAAACTACCTTGAGTGGTCACTAAAATCTCACTTGTTACATCACAATTGACATCTTGCTTTGTAGCCAGTGTTACGGAAATAAATTGAGAAGTCGATATCCAGGAAAAACATCCATTTAGGTTGATTACTCCTAATTATTAATCAACTGACACACAGACACAGCACCTGACAATTCCATTATATGAATCTATTGAAGTCCCATCATGAGACAAAAAAAGTCGATGAAACTTTAATACATACTTATTTAAAGTGTAGTTGGCAACTCCTATTTCATGTAAGGTATGAGGATCATCAGGACAAATGAATAAAGCAACATCGAAAAATTTATCCGTTAATGTTAGGTTGTTTGTCACACTGTATTCAATTCCACTGTATAAATATGGAAGATGAGATCTAAAAAATAAGTTTCAGTTACATTTTTAGGTAGTTTAGATAGGTTTAGAAAATATGGAACATTATGCATTCGACGACAAGGTGCCACACCCGAAAGCTAGATCTTCAAACACGATCTGCTCTCCCACATACAGCACCAGGGATGGGAATCCCAAGCTGGAGAAATGACGTTTCATTGTCGCTAGAGCCAAGTTTTCCATAATAGATAGTGCCAAAGCTACTGACAATTTTAATAGCCCCGCCTCTTAATCATCTCATTCTTTTCTCACATATATAATTTTCTAATACTTCATACAAATAATAAAATCTATCTTTTCAATGTGAATTTGTAGATTTAGAAGTTTAAACTTTGAGTCCAAAATTTCAGTCGCTTGACCTTCTATTGTTACGATATAGCACAGGGTCGGACTTTCAGAAAAAAAGATATTTGGATAAGCTTGACTGAGTACAATTGCTTTTTAAGCTTGGGTCAACATACAATTCAAAGTTAAGAGATTAATCAGTCTAATATCCGAGAATTTACCTTCCATCAGGACCGAACATACACAACTCTTATCTATAAAATGCATCGACTGAATACAGAAAAAAATACTAAATCAAATTGTACAAGCTTGCATATAAAACAAAAAAGTAAATTTGACTTTAAATTACCCTCTCATAAGCTGTGTAGCAGTAAAATAGGCAGCCATAGCTTGATCATGTTCTCCTTCCAATGCAAATGAATGTCCAAGCGCAAGCCAAGCAGGGCCGAACATCTGAAACAAACAAGTCAATGAGTAAGTCAATGGTAATTGTTTATCTCAGTAGTTCCCGAACCGTGGCCCTCGGGCCAATTACGGCACGTCAAACTTGACCGTGTGGTAACAATTCAATATGGCCCGTCGAACTTGAGTAAAATAGTTTAACGTTTTTTTTTGCGTTCTTGTTATCGCCAAATGGTAACAATTCAATTGTACCGGTATCTTAAATATACAAACCGGTATCGGGCCCTCAAAATCAATCAAATGAATAGTTAAGTGACCTAATTTATCAAAAGCAACTAAACTCGGAGAAAACTTGATAAAATATTAGGTAAGAGGGAAAAGCCCTCTGGAAAAGGTCCATCTTTAAAAATTTGAAAGCAATTGGCCAATATTTTTGATTAATGGTGATTTTAACAATAGTTTAGCCATAACAGTCCAAAGGTCAACTTCATGTTGGAAAAGTTAATGTCAACAAATAGGCTTCTATGCTTCGGGTTCGGGCTATACTTTACCTTATCAATGAGTGTAGCTTTCAATAAATATCTCCTCGTTAATTCTTGTTTTTTAGGTTGCAGGAGATAGTAGCATCCAACTGAATACCAGGAAATCTACATAAAGCACAAAGTTTTTCAATAATGTAACAAGAAAAAAAGAGACAAAAGACGGAATGAATCACCAGAACATATGATTAATGTTCACCAGCCAGTTATTGATAGATAAAAATTCATCGCTGACCATAGTGATTGATGTTTTTTGATATGCCCAATATCATGAAACCCAGAATGAATGTAGTTTCGTGGTGGTGAAACGTGTAACCATGATATAAGGGTTTTTAAATTTTAAAATTATACAAATTATTTTTGATTTTGTTATTTTTATGAAGTATTAGCAAAATAAAAATGTGAAAAAATAGTATGTCATGATAAATCATGCTTACATAAAAGTTAAACAGTTGGTTTGTAAGCCAAATGATGATTGGAAAGATCAACTCTATAAGATATATTTTCATTAATACAATTCAAAGATCAATATCATAATACTTACTGCTTTCTCTGGATATCTTTTGACAAGTTTGTGGGAGAGATAAAAAAGTTCATTTGATTTTCTTAACACAACAAGAAATGCAATATGAAGAGGTAAACATTCAGTATGATATGGATCAGTCCTCAGTATTCTGATATAAGAGAAAATAATAATACAAAAATCACCAATAAAAATGATATGTTTTCTTACTGCTACATAAAATTTCGGATAGACAATCCTATATAACTGACTGGCCTTGATCAGATATTAACAAACTGTGTTACGCAGCACACTGTTGTTCCATAAAAGAGGCCAAAACATGCTGCGATTGTTTTGTACCCAAATATAAATTGAAGAGTAAATCCTCCTAATTGTTCTTTTACTTTACTTAATCCTCATGTAGTTCAGGATGTACAACATAACGTGGCATTGTAAAACTGCCATTGCGACATCGCAGTTGTCAGATAGCTTTCTGGCTTTGAAGAGAAAATACCTTGACACATAAGCATAAAGGAGAATATGAGTTTCAGTCACTCTTGCATTCATATGTGATGTAAAAACATTTGATAATAATGACAAGTATCACCATCAAACATTATACTAGAAAATCAACCTGCAAATTGTTACAAGTGGCTTCTACTACCAAGCTTCTCAGCAAGTGTCAACTTTATAGTTTATCTGTATGGCAGCAAAATTTAGACCTCACTCAAGTGCCTTAACACAATTTGAACCAGTTTGAAAACTGGTCTATATATGTAAGCAAATTATAAATATCTCAATAAAAATTTAATATTGAACTTACCCTGAAGTAAATTTATATCCCGTTTTGAATTCAGAATTATAATAAAGTCGTTCTGCAATCGATGTTGCAACTTCTAAATTTTCATGAAGATTATCAAGAGGTTTTGGAACTTTGAAGTCTGTGGGTTTGTCATACTGAAATAAAACAGAATGTTAAAGGAATGAAGTATGCTACTATTAACTTGTGCAAACATAGATAAACCATTACCTAGCTCGATATAATATTGTGAGATACAGTCATAAAGGCATAAAATATCTAGGAATATTAACAAGCAGCATAAAAATCATTAAAGGGGTAAATTAAATCGAATGAGGTTCGAGCGTGCGTTGTACAAATAACTCCTGATACATTTCTAGAAAAATGAGTCCCATCACAACTATGTATCTGGCGGCACATATTAAGATCATTTTTCTAAAATAAGGCCCTTTACAAGCAGCCACTGATATGAAATGGGCAACAATTTAGTGGTAGGAAGAACCGGTATCTCTGATATGATCACTACCATTAAACATCAGCCTAAATGCAGTAGCATGGCAGTGGGACGCAAAACAATGATATTAGGGCCTTTAGATTTAAAAATTCTGAATGAACTTTTACGGTAATTACACATTTTTAATATGATTTTGTTATTTATATGAAGTATTATGAAATTATAAAAATGAAAAATCAAATATATGGTTAGGAGCTGGAGCCACAAAAATTTCTAGTAGTTCTATCAACGCTACAGTTCGACATTGCCTACCCAATTTATCAAAAATACAACCTTCCTAATTTTAGTTCCATAAAGAAATGAAACGAGCTGTCTTTCTTCTTCTGATTTACATTGGTCATTAAGTGGGAGTGACTCGAGTAGTTCTTGTTCTCCAGAAGGAAATAAAAGATGGTGAGCGATGATTCGATCATATGCTTCATAGCAGAACACATCGACCAGAAGAGCTTCCTTTTTTAATAAAAAAAAGATTTATGAGAGTAAAATATGTATCCAAACCCATGATTATGAAATACTATCGGTCTATCGCATCATATCAATCTCTGAGGATGGCTGATAAAAAACACCATTCTGTATAAGGATTTGTACAGTCAGCTAGCTACTCGTACAGAATCGGGTGCTATTTCAGGAAGAACCTGAACTATTTCAAGCCTCGTTTACCAAACATACTTTACCATAGGTTTGCTGGATAGAGTTGAAACCAGATATCTCCACCCTGTAAACCAACACAAAGACTCAAAAATTAAAAGTTTTGTCCCAAATCTCCAGAGTTTTTGGAAAAATAATTAGAGATATTGATTTTCAAACAAATGTATGAGGAATTACCTCATAGCATTGAGCAGCATATTGTCTTGTGTCTTTAGCTTCATATATATCTCCTTTCAGTAGCAAAATTGATGCTTTCATTTCCTAAATACACAATGATGATATAATATATCTCAATCAGACAGAATATAGTTGTAAATATGAAGAATGGAAAAAAAAAATAACTTGACGAACGAACCACGGCCTCTCCTCTGGTTACCATACCAGTCCATGTGGGGTATGGGATTAGTAGTTTTTTAGATACATGGACTTGATGGTGGAGAAAGCGGTAACGGACAGGGGGTTACTTGAACCATTCTACAATGGCGAGGAGCCCAGCAATCCTCTCGCAAATAATTATTTCCAGGGGATTCGAACCTGCGAAGTGCGAACAGTTGCACGATAATCAGCTGTGCAGTGGCGAGCGTATTCTCAATGCTTAGCACGATGCACCACACCACCAAGCCAGAAATCTACTCAGAAAGGGATGACTGAAAAATAAAAACCTTGTTAGTTGGTATTCCAGGAACATCTTCAGTCTCCATATGTAGTTTCCTAGGAATGACTTGAAAAGTTGCATCTTCCAATAAATCGAGAGCTAATTGCCATTCTTTTGCTTCTGCATAACATTTTGCAGCAAGATATCTGGAAGAAAGTCATTGTGATTACTAATAGCTAATCACCACCACAAACTTAATAAAGTTTATCATAAAAACTTTCGCTCCAAAATAATTGTCAAATTTGATAGTTTGGGTTAATAAATGAGCTGTTCACATGATATCCTAAAAATAATTATGTGTAAATTTGATGGTTCCAGGTAGGCTATACAGTCTACACATAGACTGACATATAAACTTCACTTTCAAATAGACAATCAGCGGTGCTGAAAGTCTTATATGGAATAATTATACCTGAATGCTGAGTGCTTTTCATGTAATCTTTTTCCTTTAATAAACAAAGCAGCTCTTTCGTATTCACCAACAGAATACATGCATTGTGCAAGGTTATAAATATCTTGTATTTCATCTGGAGATAGAATAGAATTTTTTTTTATAATATGTGTTAGGTTTGCTATACAACCCAAAACTGATGACGTGAAAGAATAAAACTGTATATAGCCAAATTACTTACATTTCGATAATGAAGCAACTTTGTCCGCCCAAAATAAAGCAGTCTGATAGTGTCTCTGAAATATATACAGAAGCTTTTCTCAATAATATGATATAAAACAATGGTGTGCAACCTTTAATACAGGCGGGTTAGATACAATAATTAGGTAAAACAACGGCGGCACCGCGCTGTTCGCTTCACACAATCTACCTTTGATAAGCATACCTAATAAATTGGACTCACTCAGGCATACACTTTGTAACGCAAAGGCATTTAAATTACTCGCACACACCAGATTCAACTAAATTAAAAACTCGTTTCGCGGGCTGCACAGTGCACACCATTAAAAATTAGCACTTCTCTGTAGACCGCACAATTTTTCCCTGTGGGCCGCATTTGGCCCGCAGTTTGCATACCCCTGATATAAAAGGTTTCAATAGAGGGCAATGACAACTAAATAAATCATGCAAAAAGCTAATGTGGATGCATGGCCAAGTGGTTAAAGCATTAGACTTAACTAAGATGGCTGTTATAAAAAACCCAAGTTTTCCTATTGCTATCCAAGTAAGATTAGGTTATTAAGACTCGTTTCAATGATGACTTCATAACATCTGCAACTTACCCTGCTTGTCAAGCGAAGCCACCTTTTTTCCAGATTATTATTAGCAAATGCAAGTATTACCTTTTCTCTATATTGGCGAACTAGCGCTCGTAGCCTATTGATCAACTCAGGGTTGGTTTCAAAATCCTCCATCGTCTGTCCGCTTGATTCCTCGAACATTGCGATTAGCAATTATGTAATATATTCAAGAATAAATTTGAGTATAGACTAAACGAAAAATGGCAGAATTTTGTGAATGGGCATTATCAAATTCAACTATACAGTTCAAAAAATTGTTTCCTCACGAACTTGCAGGCATAGTGTAAGTAAATCAAGATACACCATGGGAAAGAATGAAAAAAATGTCAAAAAAAAAGTTCAAGCTATCTAGCTGAATCAATAATGTCCAAATCAGAATGATTATATTTCCTCATACCTACTAATTCATATCAGAAATATTTAAACCCATAACCACAAAACAATTCACTAATCAGAATATACATCGGTGTTCATGAAGTCCTGTTACAAATTTAATTTTTTTATTGAGATACGGTAAGTTCTGAATCTGATGTATTTCAATTTTTAACCAGGTTTGTTTTATTTCAATCAGTGATTAATAAAGTTTTTTTTATCCATTGGATAAACCTATAGAGACCAATAAACTATACATGAAAATGAAATCAATAAATTCCATTCGCAATTTTAGAACTTTATGAATATCCTGTATGTGAAAATTACTTCAACTAAAACCAAATTCTATCAAGATTTGTTACATCATTTTTATTCTAGAAAACAGACATATTTTTTCAAATCTCGAAATCAAAACACATTTTAATTTGTTAGCATTTTCAAGATACTGACGAATATGACAACTAGACAAGATGACATAAAAATGGCAGACAGCATTTTTCAAGATTCTTTTAGTTCCACTAATCCAAAACTGCATTTGGGCTAGTGTTTCTTTCGTTATGGCCATGAAGCCAGGAGCAAAATAATTAAGCACTGGTTTACAGCTGAGGCCTCAGTTTGTATATGCTGTGACTTCTGAGCTGGCGCCATTGTAATTTGAAAGCATCTCCTCAGCCCTGGATTTTACCAACGAGAAGCTGCACAACCATAAATAACACACATCACCAAATAAAATTGGTACTCATGATAAAACATTAACGAAACCATTCACAATTTATTTCAATGCCTGTAAACTGTCTATCAATAGTTCATAGATGCTATCCTATAAGAACCAGAATATCTATAAATGCATGGCAATTGGCAACCATCATATTTTATGTCCGGTATTCTAACAAATAATAATTACAATTCAAGTTGATAGCCTTACAGAATACATAACAGTGTCTGCAGTAAATTTCCACCAAATAAAGATTGCAAAGATACAAGTGCACCATAGAAAGCAAGGGCTCGTTTCCATAATTAAAGAAGTGGCATTTGAATAAAAATGAAATATATTCGACCAGAAAAAAATCATTGCTTATCTATTTCAATAAACAAGTTTTCTCCTTTTTGAATACTTCCAACAAAAATCCATAATTCTTATTAGTTTTATGACATCTAGGCAGAGTTTGGTTAGAGCCTGATTTGGGCAATTTAAAAATAAAAATAAAACTGAGACTGGAATGTGATAATGGACACATATAGGAAGCGAGGTCTGTTCGAAATCCAAGAGCACCACACAAATCGATATGTGTATATCCAATCTTTAAAATCACCACAATTATTATTCAAAGGCAAAGCAATTCTTCTGGAAACGAATACATCAATCGCTGTCAAATTGTATCGAACAAACTTCCATGTTGATCGAACCTCCTCTATAATGTCCACGTTTCATTTTAGTTTTCTCTCGTCGAAAGCTTTTACCCTTTGTATGTTTAAGGATATTATGAGCTGCCTCACCCCATGAATCTCTTTTAGAGCCAAATGAATTATCTGAAAATTTATGATCAATTTCAAAATCTTCATCCTTAACTCTCCTAAATGGTGTGTTAGGAGTCGATTTATTAGATTTTTTACCGCTCGACTTCGAAGTATTTATATTGTTTTGGAGTGGGGTTTTTGGGGTCCCGTTAAAATAAGAGTCCGCAGGCATAACCTGTTTCAATTCAGCAGTTTTATTATTATTATTGACATCCTTTTTTGTGACTTTTTTTGATGAATCGTCCTCTTCCTCAGAAGATTCTTCTGAGCTTGATGAGGAGGATTCCTGTTTTGCCATTTTCTTTTTTGATGCAGAGCTATTCAATTTCGTTACAATATCTGCATCTATCTTAGCTATCTTCTTCGGAGGAGCACTGTCTTCTTCATCTTCAGAACTAGATTCCTCCGAGCTTGAAGATGAATCATCAGCTTTGGTAGTTAATACAGCTTTTGAATCTTTGGTATCAACTTTTTCTTCTTCTTCCTCTGATGAAGATTCTTCAGAGCTGGATGAAGATTTTCCATTATCGTGATTTTGTTTCGCAGTTGATATATTAGTCTTTAAATCTACATTATTTTCCAATTGTGCAACAGATTCTTTCGCAACAGCTTTCTTTGCATCCTCTTCTTCATCAGATGAAGAATCGCCGGAGCTGGATTCTTCAGAACTCGAAGAATCTTTAGCATTAGAAGCTTTGCCGTTAGATACAGTTTTGTCTTTTATTACATCAACTTTTTCTTCTTCTTCATCATCTGATGAGGATTCTTCAGAGCTTGATGAAGATTTATTTCCATTGACATTTTGTTTAGCAGCAGAATTATTAGATTTTGATGTTGAGTCACTACTCTTATTAGCTGGTACTGCATTAGACTTTTTAATCTTTGTCTTAGTTTGCTTTGGAGCCGGTGACAATTTAGATTCAGATACAACGCCCCGTCTTTTATCAATCCATGTTTGATAAAAATCTGTAACAGTTGCTTTTTTGACATCAGCGGGCTTAGATTTTGATTCATCACCGAACTGCTTTGCAAGCTTTACCAAATTACGTTGGATCAAATATCTGTGCACAAACGAGTCAAGTTCTGAATCTAATACATCCATGATTTTATCCCCTAAATGTTGATAATTTACTATGAAAATAGAGCAGATAGATTGTGTAATTACTGTTAAATAAATAGACAGGTTCATTTCAGGAGTTATAGCCAGAAAATTCTTTAAATTACCCTAATATGTTAAAGTCAACGACTCAACATGAAGGCTACAGATTTGAAACTAGTTAAAAATAGCCTAAATGCTTTATTTATAGAGGTGCCAATACAGCAATCCAAGATGTTTAAATTTTGAAGCATTTTCTTTATTGATATACGCTTTACATCTTTAATAATCTTAAAAACGGGAATTGTAACGTAACGAAGAATCCACATGATACAAAACCGTTACAGATACGGGCAATAGAGGAATAGGGCAATAGGGCACAGTTCTCCAATTCCAACATGCCCATCATTTGGTCTCACAAACGAGGGACATATGGCACGACAGCACCACGCTTGTCTCAATAATAATCTAAATTAATTGTGACGTGCAGTGGTCGTCACATGACCAAAATTGTGTTTTTTTACTACAAAAATTTTTCTTTAGGTAAATATAATTATTTTTTTTCAAGGAATCCACTGGTGAAATTTTTTATTACGCTCCTTTTTAGAGCAGTGCCGGTTTGCCAGTAGGGAGGCCCAGACTGTCTCATAAAATGGGGACATTCACTGTTATATATCATAATTGACGTCTTTTAATGTGGGGTTTATTTTTGGAATTGCAGAACTGTGCCATACTATAATGGGATTTTATTCAAAACAATTTTAGAAGATGGACTATTCCACTTATTCACTCGAATAGTTAAACTGCATTATGAATATAGTTTTTATGTGCACGCTTTTAAACATTTTGACACTATTGGCATCTAAGTCATACATTTTGCAGTTTTGGCAATATGTCATTCAGTTTTTATGTAATATTCTGTTAGCATATTATTTTGATATTTTGCTCTTCACTTTACTTTGATTTTTTCTATAACCTAAACTGTCAATATCACTCCTGAAAGTATTAGTGAATCTAGACCGGGGTAAGCCTACAGAGGAATTTTTAAAACCGGCTCGACAAAAACAAACCACAGGTAACCGTACTGGAAGCAAGTGGCAAACGCTGAAATATATACGGCGATTTATACTCTTGCCGCCGTGAAGAAACGCATTTTGCAGCAGTGAAAGGGCGCCGCAAGTGGTATAATCAAGTCGCGAAGAACAGGTGTTAAAGAGGGTTGCCAGATACGCCAGGCAACCAGTTATTTTTTTTCAATAAAACTTTATGATAAGATTTTCATGTGGGAGGAAAGGGGATGGGATTACCTATCATATAGCTTTCCATGGCTCTCGGCAGATAAATGTCCGGTATAGGATTAGTTAGCCAAGTATCTGTTCAGATGCAATGAACGACAAGTGAATTTTCAGTTCTCAGTTGTGTTTCCGGAATTTAGTCGTAAAATATTTAATTGTCATTATGCCTTCCTGTGAGCCTTAGTTTAGTTGCAATAATCAAAAATTAGTCTCGAACGAGCTACAATAGAATAGTTTGCGTAAAATACAAAACACTCTCAAAATAGGCCTAAAAAATTTACTTTGATGAAATATAGGAAAAATTGCTTGGGGTTCAAAGGTCGGGAAAACATCCATTCTCTTGCTCATAATTATCCCCGAAGGAATTCGAACCTGCGAACTCAAGAGGGGTAATAGATGCGATACCACGCGTATTCTTAACACCTAAAACGATGTGCCAACCGCCGAGCCATTTTTGAAGGATTGAAAATTTTTTGCTAGGTAAAAAACAAGGGTAGTAAGTGGTTGAGAGCCGGTATCCAACCAAGTACACCATGCGAGGTCGAAATAGTGATTTGTTTCAGTGAATTATGCATTCACAAAAAAAACGAGCACGGTGAAGAACTAGAGATATACATCTCTCATTGATACAATATGAGCTACCGGCTTTAATATTCACTATAAGTCAAATCTCAAAAATATTAGGCCGTGAGACGCGGTACTGCAAAATGGTTTGAAAGTGAGTTTCGTAGCGCACATCTGGGGACTATATAACTTCTTCAGTTTCAAATGAAAATGAATATACTGAACGCATTACAGCTTGATTCTACTAACGAAATTTGCACATTTCCTGTAAAACATGCTTAAAAAATCCTGATGCAAAAATTGGATATTCGGGGATTCCACGAAAATCAATAATCGTAGGTGTACAACGACACAGCATGAAAAGTTGCTTCCATTTTATAGAAGCCATCAAACGCATCAATTTTAACACAAGTCACAAATTAACACCGTGAGCACAAGAACACAAGTAAATCGGTTAAAATCCCTATTTAAAATTGGGGATTCTCCGAAAATCAATAACCATAAGTTTACAACGAAACAGCATAAAAACTATGCAATTCAAGAACCCTGCTGCAAGCAGTTTACAACAATAAACAGCATCATAGGAAAAAGCATTTATTTTATAGAAGCTATCTAACTCATTTATATTTAGACAATAAAGTCACAAATTAACATAGTGAGCACAAAAACACAAATTAATCGGTTATTTATCAGTGAGAAATTTAACGAAAACGGCAAGAAAATTAAATGAATACAGTATGTATTGGCCAATGAACGCAGACTTCTGCATGACGTAACAATTAAAATTTGATCAGCTGTTGGCAGTTGGATGAATCTCAGTTTGTACTGACCGCTCTTGCGTTGAGTTGGGTAGTCTTTCCATCGTCTTTTTTAGTTATTATTAGCTAAGTTAAGCTGAGATGGTGTTATGGTGTTAAAAAAGTATAAGAAAGTTATTAAACACCTGTAAATCCTTACCATGGATTGCAATTTTAGTCGAGCACTAGCTCCAATGACCTATAACATTGTTAAATAAATACGGTAAGATAACTTCAAGTAAGGCTAGACCTAGAAAGATATGCCACAAACGGTATTTTCATGCTTGTATGGAGGGTTGATGATTAATTCAATGACGATTCTTGAATATTCCCGAGACTTATACTACTATATAGGCTACAGCATATTTGATTCAGAAAATAATGACCGATTTTGAAATGCACATCTGTGTGAAAGAGAAGAAAATAAACAATTTTACTGATGTCAATTGGTCCAAATTCATAAAGTGGACAAGAACCCGAGCAGCAAAGATAAGCCATGCAGGAGTTATGAGAAATGAAACGATTGAGAGATGAGAAATTGTGCATCAAGTTGTAGACTGACAGTTGATTTAAAAAAAATACAAGACATTTCAAACTGTGTGATTTATTTAGATCAATGTAGATATATATAGTCAATGGTGGGATTCAGCCGGTTTGGACCGGTTCTATAGAACCGTCTCACGGAATTTTATGAAATCAGCGAACCGGTTAGCATTACTGCTTCTTACTATAAATCTAGGCAGCGAGACGAGGCCGTTTATCTTTCAGTTTTGTAGCGCACAAAAGAGACTACCTGAAAATAATTTTAAAATGTTCCTTAGAAATTTAGTAACAAATAATACCTTGTTCCCATTTCCAAAAGTTGCACATTTTGCGAAAAAGACGCTTTTACTGCAAGAAATATGTGCCGCCATCTGTCCTATATTCTCTGCGTTTCCGGCAACATTGGCCAGTGAACGAAACTACAAAAGAAAACGCCAATAATCTCCAATCCAAGCCCACGCAGGCTATCGTCGCTGCTTCTATCAGCCCTATAGCCTACCTAAGAATAAAATGAATCAAAGAAGTCTTGAAGAAAAGTGTAAATGTAGGGGAGAGGCAGGTTAGTTGATGCTGTAGTTTAGATCAGTGATTCCCAAAGTGGGCGATATCGCCCCCCGGTGGGCGAAAACGATACAGAGGGGGGCGAAAAAGTCGAAGGGGGCGACAGGGGGGCGATTTCGCGAAACCCGTTTTTGTTCGGCGCATCGTGCACTTGGTTACTGTACTCTGCGTGCTTTCATAAGTTTGAATCACGTGGGCGATTATCACAAGCGAAAGGATTGCTGGACTCGTCTTCGCAGTAAGGTACGGCAGTTTGCGTATCCCAGTGGTCGGCAAAATACGGCCGGAGTAAAATAACCTGACCCGGGATGCTTCACTGAATAGACCTTTCCCCGACCTTTGACCCCGGAAAATGCTTCCTATACTTTACCATTTTAAAATTTTCAGTGCTTATTCTAAGAGTGGTTTCGCGACTTGTTGCCTGTAAAATGGGGTATTTGTTTCAAACTATCATTCTAATTCATACCATTCAACAATTTGTTTTTTAAAAGTACCGGTAAAGAATTTTATCACAGCTATTTTTGATTACTGTAGTTAAACTGAAACTTCTAGGAAGACAAAGTGATCATTGACTTATTCGATTTATATTTGAATTTCCAAAAAAAAAAAACTAAAACTAACGAATATAATTCAAAAACGCGAAAATGAGGTGATGTTCACGACCGCGCCTGAAAATCTGTCTGAGTGAGAAATGTGTCTGAGCGGATGCCAAAGGGGGCATTGTTACGTTTATTTTTGCATCTTGCTGATTAGCCAATGTCACGAAGTAAACAAGGAAGTCTATGCCCGGGAAAACACCCAAGCGGCGGTTTTGACTAAGAATTAATTTTATTTATAATCTACGCTCGAGGAGTAAATTACATTTTTTACGTAACAGAATTTATCGTGAGACACGTTTAGACTGAATTTCATTATATCCTAAAAATTCTACTGAACAGCTACTCATTTAACGAGCCTACAATTTAAATATAATTAGACAAATGGAAACACGCAGAAAAGTTGATGTTGAGTGCAGGGGTTCAATAGCGCAGTAAATATTTGAATATATTGCAATGCAATGAGGAAATTAAATTCATATCCTATTCAAGAGATTCGTTCACCGCTTAATTTTTGTAAGAATGTATCTTCTTTAAAAAAATCTTCATCAAAATTTCACAAACCATGCGAAAATATTCACTTCGATGTTTGAAAGTACATATTTGTGCGAACAATTATTTTCGAAAATGAACATTACAAAGAACTAGGATTAGTGATGCCCATTTAGAAAATGTTCCAATCTTGTCGTCGTAAGGCTATCAAGCATA